TTTTTGGTTTTTCTCCGGTACCGGGAACCGAACTCACGACGTTGCACTTGCCAGGCAGGCGCTTTTGCCGCTGAGCTAAATCCCCAGCCCCTCAGAAGATATTTTTGACTGTTCCCCCCACTGGGTTAGGCACTGAAGTGATTAAGGTCCCACCTCCCAGATACCTATTAACTGGTACTGTTCTAGCTATTAGTAAGAAACTATGTTGAACCAGATAAAGGTGCGCATGCTTATAATCCCAGCACTCGGAAGCTGAGGCAGGAGGATTGCTGTGAGTTCGAGGCCAGTGTGGGCTACATAGTGAGGTCAAGGCCAGCCTGGACTACATGGCAAGAGCCTGTCTCAAAAAACAAAACAAAACAAACCGAAGAAACTACACTGAGCAAAACAAAGATCCCTATGTTTGTGGGGCTTACACTATAGCAGATGGAGACAGATGTGTCACAGTGAATATGATGTATAAATGAATTGTCTAGTGTAATATAAGGTGATGATGGAATGGGATAAAGAAAGTGGAGTGAGCAAGGGGGAGAGTGGTAGGTGATGTCGGAAAGGTCACACAGGGCCTTGTGGACCAAGTTGGAAGGACTGCAGCTTTGTCTGGATGAGACCTAAGTCATGGGATGATTTTTTTGTTTGTTTGTTTTTTGAGACAGTCTCGCTATGTAGTTCAGGCAGGCCTTAAACTCACTATGTGGCCCAGGCTGGCTTTGAACTCCTGGTGACCCTCCTGCCTCAGCCTCCCGAGTGCTGGGATTACACTGTGCACCATCACGAGTACAGGGTACTATGAAAGTGATAGCAGGGAGTTTGTTTTAGACAGGGTAGTCAGGAAAGACCTCACTGAGACAGTGACCCAAAGGATGAAAGGGAGTGAGTGTGAGTGTGAGGGTCCAGGGGAAAGGAAGTCCTAAGGCCCTTACGTCAGACTGTGCCTAGCACCCTGAGGTGGCCAGTTTGGCTGAAACTAACTCGGCAGGTGGGGGGGGGGCGGTAGGAGTAAGCAGGGTTTTCAACAGGTAGGATCTTATGGTCAGAGTGAAGACTTCTGCTTTTAGTGTCAGTGCGATGGAGGCCTCCGTGAACGTCTGAGCACGGAGGGTCATGGGCTAATTTAGGGTCTAAGAGAATTCTTCTGAATGCTGTGAGTCGACAATAGAAATGGGGTGGACACCTGGGAACAGGTCTGGGAAGACAAGGTGAGAAGTGGAAAGACTAGGGCACATCTTGATGGGTATTTTGATTAGGCATGGGATGCTTGAGTACATTTTCTGTCCTTCCCATCCTGGCTAACCCTATGCTGGAAACTGGCTCGACCCACCTTCCCTTGCCGTTTCTCTCCGTCGCCCCCACCCCCACCCCGAGTTGGGGGGAAATCTCATTTTTTTTAGGAGGAAGGGGAATTGAACCCAGGATCTTCTCATTGAGCTACATCCCCAGCCCTTAAATTTTTTATTTTTATTTTTTATTTTTTGAGACAGGGTCTCGCTATGCAGTTCAGGCTGGCCTTGAACTCACTTTGTAGCCTAGGCTGGCCTCAAATTCACAACGATCCTCCTGCCTCAGCCTCCCGAGTGCTGGGATTACAGGCGTGTGCCACCACGCCCGGCTCTTTTTTTGTTTTTTATTTTTTGAAACAGAGTCTCGCTAAATCGTCAAGTTGCCCAGGCTGGGCTGAATTTTCAATTCTCCAGCCTCAGCCTTCAGAAGTGCTGGGATTGCAGGTGGGTGCCACCAAGCCCTGGTCCAGCCACTTTTCTTTTAAGGCTCTGGAAGAAGCTACAAAGGCTTTCCAAGACTCTCCACCCCAACCCTTTTTCTGCTTTGAAATTCCACACCACCGCTGTCACCCCATGGCTTGGCGACAGGTGGCAAATGTGCCACCTCTCTGGCTTGGAGGAGCTCCTCTGACCTTCAAGACAGCCTTTTACCTTCACCGTCTATTGGCCATACCACCTATTGGTTTATCAGTCACTTCTAAGACCCACCTCCTCTTTCCTTCTTCGGCTCCTGTGCTTCGATGAAGTCTCCACTGTGCGAGTCCCGCAGCTGTTGTCTCCTTTCACTCCTTGCCCACTTCCCTCCCTTTGCCTTCATCTAAACTGCACTTCTCTCCCCTCCCCATTGGCTCCTTATTCTGCCCATCTTGAGGCACCGCTCTTCTGCCCTCCACTCGTTGGCTAGTTTCTCGATTTTACCACGTAGCTTTGGCTTTCCATTGGTTCCCTCAAACTTTGACCCTTACTCGTCCAGCAAACGTCCTAGTACACATCCACTCCTGATTCTTATTGGTTCACTGACCCGCCGATTTCCTTTTAAGTACCCTAGTTGGTCGCACCGCTCGCCCATCACTCACCAGATTACATCTGATTGGAGAAGGAGGTGGGCGCGCCCTGTGGGCCGTAGCCTTGCTGCCCATAGTCGCCCTGGGGCCCATAGCCACCGCCACCGCCGCCGACTGGCTGCCCATAGTCGGGCTGGTAGCCGCCCTGGGGCCCGTAGGAGTCCTGGGGACCATACCCGCCGGGGCCCTGCCCGTAGCCCGCATCGCCGTAGGCGTCCCCGGGTGCCGGTTGCTTCTCGGGGGCGCCAGGAGGTGCACGCAGGAATGGGGCGGCCCAGCCTGTCTCCTTGAATACGAACCATAGATTGCCGACCCAGAGCACAAGGTTCAGGAAGCCGAACACCTGCAGGGAGACAAGGCCCGGCTATGGTCCCCAGCCCATTGCCTTGATGGCCCCAGGGGCCATCAAGGCCGCAGATACGAGCAGGAATGGGCATGTAGGGCATGACTCTGTGGGCTGCGTCCCAGAGTGTGCACCTCAGTGTGCAGAAAATCACCTTCGGGGTGCATGTCAGAATTCAGATTCCTGGGGGTGTTGAGGTGTATCGGTATTACATGCACAAGTATTTATATATTTGCACATGTATAAAACATAGTAAACTGAAATTTGTAATGTGTCCTAGAATATAAACACACATTTGTATTAAATATATAACAGATGCATGTATACATATGTATATACAGACATAAATGCACATGTATAAAATATTAAATATATAGTATATTGATATAAATGGCACTTTATAAAATAGTTTGAAAACACAAAACACTTTACCTTTTACTCTAGGTCACACGGTCTTCTAGGCACTTTAGGTTTTTTTTTTGAGACAGGGTCTCACTATGCAGTTCAGGCTGGCCGTGAGCTCACTTTGTAGCCCAGGCTGGTCTCAAACTCGAAATGATCCTCCTCCCTCAGCCTCGTGAGAGGCACTTTAGATGCTATTAGTTCACTTAAAATTCCATTTGGAGGAAGTAATATCCCATTTTACTTTTATTATTATTATTATTATTATGGTGGCTTTTGATAGGGGATCTCCCTGTGTAGTTCAGGCTGGCCTCAAATTCCCTGTGTAGCTCAGACTGTCACAGTGCTCCTTCTGCCTAAGCCTCTGGAGTGCTGGGACTAACAGGCATGTGTCACTATGCCTTTATTTTATTTATTTATTTATTTATTTATTGTCTTTTTGAGACAGGGTCTCACTATGCAGTTCAGGCTGGCCTTGAGCTCACTTTGTAGACAGGCTGGTCTCGAACTCATAGTGATCTTGCTGCCTCAGCCTCCCGAGTGCTGGGATTACAGGTGTGCGCCATCACGCCCAGCTATTGTGTTTTTAATTAAAACTAATTTTTGTGGTATTGGAGATTGAACCCAGGGCCTTGTACACAATAGGTAAACATTGTACCACTGAGTTACATCCCAGCCCTATTTCTTTTTGGATAATCTTGCTAAATTCCCCAGGCTGGCCTCTAACTTTCTGTCCTCCTGCCTCTGCCTCTCAAATAGTTTGGACTACTGGCATGAACTACCATTTTATTTTATTTTATTTTTATTATTTATTTATTTTCACATTACTCATGCTGGCCTTGAACTTTGGGCTCAAGCAATGCTCCTTTCTCTGCCTTCTGAGTAGCTGGGACTATAGGCACAAAGCCCCACTTTACTTCTGATACTTTTTTTTTTTTTCTGAGACAGGGTCTCGCTGGGTAGTCCAGGCTGGCCTCATACTCATGGTGATCCTCTTGTTTCAGCCTCCCCAGTGCTGGGATTACAGGTGTGTGCCACCACACCTGGCCCCACTGATACTTCTGTTTTTTTTTTTTTTTTTTTTTTAGTAGTGCTAGGGATTGAACCCAGGTGAGCTTTGCCTCTGAGCTACATTCTCAGGACATTTTTGTTTTTAATTTTGACACAGGGTCTCACTAAGTTTCACAGGCTGCCCTCAAACTTACAATCCTCCTTCCTCAGCCTTCCAGGTAGCTGGGGTTACAAGCATGTTCCACAGCATTTAATTGGTATCTCCATTATAAAGCTGAGGAAGGCTGCATGGTGGTGCATGCCTGTACTCCCAGCACTCGAGAGGTTGAGGCAAGAGGATCACCATAAGTTTGAGGCTAGCCAGGGCTACACAGGAAGTTCAAGGCCAGCCTGGACTACATAGCAAGATCCTGTCTCAAACAAACAAACAAACAAAACTAAAGCTGAGGAAACTGAGGCCTAGACAGGCTAAGTTGTCCAAAGTCTCACAGCCAGAAAGTGACAGAAAAGAGTTGTAATCTTAGCATCTGTAACACTTGTATAAGATTTACCTGTGCCAGGCCCTTTTCTAAGCACTTTGTATGTTATTAGTTCACTAAATACTCTACTTTCGAGTCAGACCTATTACAAGTCTTCAGTTTACGAGCTCAAATTGAACCCTGAGAAGCTATGTGTCTAGCTTGAAGTCAAAGAGCTTCCAAGAGGCAGAGCTAAGATTTGAGCTCACACAGTGTGACTCCACCCAGTAGGGGGCGTACAAGTAGGGGAACTTCACTTTTCAAATTTTGAGGTCCTAAGAAGATACTGAGTTGTGGGACATTCTATTTGACTAGGATGGGTCCAGGATGTAGGTCTTCCAAACTTAACCTGGACAGAAAGGTCTCCTATTCCCCTCTTGGGGCCAGTATGTGGTATCACAGTGGTTACAATTGCTACCTCATCTTTCAACATTCTGTTTGCACACTTCCTTCCGGGAGCCCCCTAGGACGTCCCCCGGGTGCCCTCCCATTCTCTCTCCACCGTTCCCCACTACTGACTGTGAGTTTCCCAGCCTCCCTCTTCCAGCCAGCTGAGCCAGCTTCCCAGAGCTTACCACAGAGGTGTTGAGCCCTGAGGTCACAGGGTCCCTCAGCTCCTTGCATGTGTTCCCTGTCTGGTGGCAGACAGCCATCGCCTTGATAATGTTCTCTGGGTCCGTGGCCATCTTCACATCGGACAGCCCCTTGGCCCAGGCGGAGGAGCTAACTAGCCACATGAAGGCGAATACTGCGGTGGCCAGAAAGTCCTGAGGTGGCAGGGGTGAGGAAGATGGCACTGTGAGTGGGCTGCCTCGTGCTGGGCCCTGGGGCCTCCTCTGAGCACAGGCTTCTTGGGAGGGAGGTCCCCCAGAAGTGGCCCATGTCTGTCCCCTACCTCTTCAGGTCTGCAGCCTACAGCATTTTCACCTGAAGGTAGCCCTCCCAGCCTGAGCTTGTGAGCATATGTGACAGAGGCTGTGGGAGTGTGATTGCGATGTGTGGGTGCGGGTGTTGCAGGAGGAACTAGTGGGTTGTTTCCGAATCTGTGGCAGGCGGTGTGTCTTTCTGCTTTCACCTGCATGTGGGAATTTGCGTCATTTTATGCTTGGGATGAGGGTGTGTGAGTACAGCAGTGTAGGAATCAGTGTCTGTGTGGCAGGATGACACGCATGACTGTCACAGTGAACCTCTTTGTGCTCCTTCCTTTGATCTAGACTGTGTGGTTGTAAGAGTTGGCGGGTTCACAGGTGTGGGACTGTCTGGGATTCTGTGTAGGCTGTATGTCCCTGATACTCTATGAGTCTGTGTGCCTGGCGTCTGGTGTAGACTCACAGAGACAGCAGCAGCACCAGCATGTGGGGCTTTTACAAGGGCTGCTTGTCTGTGGGCTTGTCTGTGAGTTAGTGTGGCCTGTGAGCCAGATGAGCTATGTCCCTGGGGCCCGTGTCCCCCAGTCCCTGCATGCAATTGGCTGTGGGGACTCACCAGCATGGGCCCTTTGTTGTTTTCTCGGTACTTGTTCTGCAGGAAGATGTAGGTAGCCAGAGCCCCCATGGAATAGAGGAAGGCAAACACAGCCACGGTGACGAAGAATTCAGCTGATGAGGAGTAGTCCCCCACTAGGAAGACCTTGGTGGTGCGCCCTCGGCAGTTGGGTGCATCAAAGTACACTTGGTGCAGCCTGCAGACAGAGAGGATGGCAGGTGTGGCCCAGCCCTTAAGAACACTCCTCATTTGTCTGCTCTGACATGGGTCTGTCCCCCAGACTCTGACAGGGTCCCAAGAAGAGGGGGAAGCAGCCATTCACAGAGCACCTGTGATATACCCAAGTCACACTGCACTGGTTGTTCAAAGCATCCTGGTGGGATAAGTGTTACTCATGTTCTACTCCAACCCAGGCACTCTTCTTTGTTTTTTTTTCAGGCTGTGCTTGAACTTGCTATGTAGCCCAGGCTGAGCTCAAACTTGTGATTCTCCTGCCTCAGCCTCCCAAATGCTAGGACTCTAGGCACATACCCCACCCAACTGACACCCAGATACATCTTGCCTCTTGGTTATTCCTAGCAGATGCCCGGCATTCTTCTATCCCGGGATCTTTACACTGGCAGTTCCCCTTGCCAGGAATGCTCTTCCCTTTGATATTCTTATGGCTTCCTCCCCCACCTCCAGTTCTGCTCAGCTGTCATTGTCTCAGTGAGGCCTTCCTGGATCTCAGTATTTACTGTGTCCTTAGTCCCCTTCCTTGCTCCATTTTTTCGGGAGCAGGGATCTCCAGGTGACATCCGGGTTTTATAATCTTGATTTCTGCTGTAACCACAAGAGGGCAGGGCTTTTCCCACTGTTTTGTTCCCTGCTGTATCCCCAGGGCCTGGCAACGGTGCTGCGAGCAGTGTTTACTGAATGAGATTTAGGAGGTGGAAACAGGTTCAGAGGAGTGCATTAACTTGCCTAAAGTCACACACCCGGCAAGGGAATGACAAAGTTGAGGTTTGAATCCTGTTTCTCCCCTATATTATGTTGATACTTCTCCCCCTCCCACTTCTAGTCCTTGAGAGAAGGAAAAAACAAAACCAAAAGCAAAGCATATGCAGAGCAGAGGAAAACCCAGGGGCTACAAAGCAGGAAGACAGACTGACAGGAAGGAGGGCAGAAGGGGTCATGAAACGGGATGTAAATATGTAAGGGAAGAGGCAGCCCGGGACAGTGTCCTGGGACTAAGGCCTTTCCTGCGGTGTGATGAAGGGAAGGGTTGTGGAGGGAAATGTGTGTGAGGAAAAGGACTGGAGGAGGGCCCAGACTCAGGCCTCAGACTTGGGGGCAGGATTTTGAGAGTGGGCAAATGGTGACGGTGCTCTTGTGTCAAAGAGGTCCTAAGGGAAAGGGCTTACACTTATTTGCCTCCTACTAAGCACTTTACATAATTGCCTCATTTAATGACACCCCTCTCTTCAAGTGGGCACTCTTATACCCATTTTATGGATGAGCAAGTAGAAACTTAGCAAAATTAAGCTACTTGTCCAAGGCTGTATGAGCAGTTGAATCTGGATTTGAGTTTCTGTTTCTGGTGGGTTGGCTTTGGAGAGAGGGTGTCTAAAGGGGGAAGGAGGGGTCCTTAGGAGGCATCAGGGCAGCGTGGGAGGGTTGTTCAGCAGCACTCAACACAAAGTCTGTTTTTTGGGAGACTTTGGGTTAAGGCAGATCATTAGACCCCTGATCCTAGCTGTGGGAGGCATGGAAGAATCAAGAAGGGATCTTGTGGGTTCCTCTGCGACCTTGTGGGCTCCCAAAGAGCTGGGACTAAGCCCTTGCTGCCAACTAGCCCTCCTTCCCCAAACCTTTCTCCCTGGCTTCCGAGGGCCAATGGCTTCCTGGTTGTCTACTTCTCCCAAGCCACCCATTTCTGACGCCTTCTCTTCTTTCTGTTGTCGCTCAGGGCCTGTGCTGGGCTTTCCTCCACTTTCATTTTCCCCCTCCCCACTGAGCGATCTCTTGGGCCTACATTTACCCTTAGCACTCCAAAATCCCTTGTTTCCAGTTCAGTGCTTGACATCGTCCCTGAGTTCCTAAAACTGATTTCTAATTCACTTGTCTATTTATTGATTGATTGATTAGTGCTGGGGGTTGTTTCCAGAGTCCTGCACATGCTAGGCAAGTACTCTGCCACTCATTTACACCCCCAACCCTTTTGTTGTTCTATTTTGAGACAGGGTCTTGCTTAAATTGCCCAGGCTGGGCTTGAACTTGCAATCCTCCAGCCTCACCCTCCTGAGTACCTGGGATTATCTATCTATCTATAGATATATAGATATAGATATAGATATATTATATATAGTGCTACCAAGAACAGCCCAGTTTTTACTTTTTTTTTTTTGGTACTGGGGAATTGAACTCAGGACCTTGCACTTGCCAGGCAGGCGCGAGTCAGGCAGGCACTGTGCCGCTGGGCTACATCCCCATCTTTTATTTATTTAACCAACACTTATGGAACAGTTTTTCTGTGCCAAGCACTGCATAAAGCACTTTACAAATACTAATTCATTTAAGACTCACCACAATCCTGTGGGGTGGGCATTATCATTACTCCTTTTACAGATGAAGGCTCAGAGTGGTTAGGTGACTTGGCTAAGTAGTGGAAGAGCCTCAAGTGAGAGGGTGTCTGTGGGTCTGTCTCCCTACTCCTCAGCAGCTTGTGCTCACACCGATGCAGCTAGCACCCAGGTCAGTGCCTGCGCACGGTGTGAGCTCAGTAAGTGTCAGGATTGGTGAACGGGGTTTCGTCATCCCCTATATCTAAACGGCACCCTGTCATCCTTCTTTATCAGAAAACCCTTTCCTGTTTCTTTTTTTTTTTTGTTACTGGGAATCGAACTCAGGACCTTGTGCTTGCTAGGCTGGCGCTTGTGCCACTGAGATATATCCTCAGCCCTCTATCAGAAAACCCTGCACAATGATTCCCATCTAGAAGAATTTCTCTCCATCTGCAGCTATCTTCTTTATTTGTTATTATAAAGGCTCTGCAGGGGTAGGGAGCTTGGTCTGTTTTAGTTACTGTTATGTCCCCATATGAACAGTATCTGGCAAATGATAGGTTTTTTAAAAAAATGGGCATAGAATGAGTGAATGAATGAGGATTAAGTAATAAATAATATCAACTAACATTGAATATCTATTGCATTAAAGTTTATATATATATATATACATATACACACATATATATATATATATATATATGGTGTGTGTGTGTGGTGTGCAGTGCTGGGGGTGGAACCCAGGGCTTTGTGGATGTCAGGCAGTGCTATATCACTGAGCTACATCCCCAGCCCTGTCTTTTACTTTTTTTGTCCCCATGGTGCCATCTTCCTTTTTTTTGAGACAAGGTCTTGTATTGCAGGCTGGCCTTAAACTCACTTATGTAGCCCAGGCTGGCCTCAAACTCACAGTAATCCTCCTGACTCAGCCTCCTGAGTGCTGGGATTACAGGCATGCACCACCACTTCCAGCTACTTCTGAATCTTGTTTACTGTCTGTTTCCTACCCTTTCCCTTCACTAGAACAGAGCCAGAAGGCAACAGCCTGTGTCCGTCTTGCTCACCACATGGATACCATGGATATCACCCAGATATCCAGAGCAGTGCCCGGTACATAGCAGGTGCTCAGTGCATGGGCAGTGATCCCAGTGCTTGTGGCCTCTTGGGGTGGGGGCTGGGCAAGGGCCACTGGGAAGGAGGGACACTGGTCAGTCCCACCCCCCACCCTGCTCAGGTCTGTGGGCATCCTAGGGAGGGGGCACACCTGAAGGGGTACTCAAATTCGACCTCAATGCTGAGGTCACTCTCGGTCTTGTTGGCACACTCCACGCTCAGCCGGAGCTCCCCGTCGTAGCTGCCGCATGTGGCAAAGGCGAAGATGGCAAAGACCTTGGGTAGCAAGGATGGGGATGGTCAAGAGAGGCTGTGTGCATGTGTGAGGGTGGTGCCCTCCTCTGGACAGATCGGGGCCCAGCACAGGCAGCAGCAGATGGAGAAGTCCCAGTCCCCACCCCCACCCCCTAATCAGGGCTCATCGGGTCCAAGCACAAGCTGATTATAGGGGTGTGGCTGAGTCTTCCCTTCCTCTCCATGTGCTCTCTCTCTCTCTACCTCTCCATGCTCTAGCCTCCCGCCCCCATCTCTCGCTCATCTCTGTTGTTTTCACTGGGTCTCTAGTTCTCTCAGTATCTCTTTCTGTGTCTTCATCTTTCTCAGATGTCTCGGTCTCTGATTCTCTCTCTCCCTCTGCCCTCACATCTCTGGGTGTCTCTTTTTTCTCTGTCTCTCTCGATGTCGGTATCTTTCTGTTCACGGACTGTTTGTCTGCGTCTCTGCTGTCTCTTATGCAGTCTCCGTGTGGTGCTCGCTGTCTCCTTTGTGCTTCTCTTTCCTCAAGTGTTGGTTTTTCCTTTTCTCCCCCCCCCGCATTTCCTGCTTTTCTCCCTGTGTCTGTTCCCCTTTAGATCTCTTTCCCTGTCTCCTTTCTCTTCTCTCATCTTTTTTTTCCCCCTCAGTATTTCCAACTTTTTCTCCATCAGTTCCTGTCTCTCATTCCCTCTCCCTCACTGTCTCTCGGTCTCTAGCTTTGCATCTCTTCCCCAGTAATCGGCTTCAGGCTCCACCTCCCCCCGCTTCCCTCACTTCAAGAGAGGTGGTAGAACATCACATTCTGTCACTTCACAACGGGGGTACACTCAGCCCTACGTGATGTCAACAGCCATCCGTTCTCTGGCCTCAGACCCCTGGGACCTCTCCCTGGAGCCCCATTCCCTCCTCCTCCACCCCTCCTCTGCTTCTGCTCCCCAACCCACTCCCTCCCTCTCTCCCTGCACTGCCCCGGTGACCCAGACCACACTCACCCACTGCAGCACCTTCACGAAGCCAAGGGGCTCCTTGACCACCCGGAACTGACCCCCAGCCACCAGCTGAGGAGAGAAACAGTGGGGAGGGGGTGGGGTTGTGGGGTACAGAGAGGGAAGTGAGGGGCAAGACTGCCAGGTGGTGACCCCTGGGGATGGGGCATGTGACCTCTGGAAGAGAGTGACATCTGGAGAGGGAGTGAAGGAAAAGTGACACCTGGGGGAAGATGTGAGCACCAGGGTCTCTGGGAGAAGACCCCTGGGTCCAGGAGTGGTGGAGAGGTGGGGTGATGTGAGTCAGACGGCAGAGGAGGTCAGGGGTGAGGAAGGTGAGGATGGGGTTCGGACTGGTTAGGGGAGGAAGCTCTGAAAGCCTTAAAGGTGAACTAGAGAGGGAAAGAGGTTGCGTGCGGAGGGGAGAAAGGAGTTGGGGTTCACTGAGGTGGGGGAAGGGTCTCACGCGGTGAAGGTGAGTCAGAACAAGGCAGCAGGCAGGGTGGCTAGGATGGGGGAGGGGGCTGCAGCGGGAAAGGTGAGTCGGATGATGGAGGGGGTCCGAGGGAATGGGAATGGGGACGAGTTGGTACTCGTTAGGGAGGGGGACGAGGTTCCGAGGTGATGAAGATTGAGATGGCGGAGAGGGTCTGGACTAAGGTGGGGAGAGCTGGGACATGGCTTCACTGGATGAGTTGAGGGAGAGAAGCCTGGGGGTTTCGGAGAGGCAATATCTGATGGTCTCCCTAGGGTCCCCTCTGGGGGAAGGGGTGGTCATCTACTGGGGTGCAGTTTCTGGGAGGGGCTGGTGCCAGCCCTCCCCCACCCCACCCCCACACCTTCTGTCGCTCTATTTCCTAGCTCATCTTGCAGCCCCCCAGTGTTTCTTTCACTCTCCTCTCCCTTGTCCCCTCCCTTCCCCCCAGCCCTGAGACCCCTCTGCTCCCCTCGAGGTCGCCAGTAATGATCGGGGCTTCTGGCAGCCCCCGCTGCGGCAGTGAGGACAGCCCTCGCTGCGGCAAAGAGCGCGCCGCTTCTTTTCACCAGCTCCCCCGTCCTCCCCTCGCCTGCCGCAGACCCCCAGCGCCAGCACCAGGGACCGGGTCTCTGCTGCTAAGGACCCTAGGTACCCCCTCTGAGTCTGGGGGTCTGGAAGCCGCAGGCTCTGTCCGCGGTGCTGGAGCGCGTACCTGATTCACCACGTCCATGTCTGCCAGCAGCAGCAGCATCAGCAATGCAGGGGGCGGAAGGTGCCTGCTAGCAAGGGCGGGCGCGGGGCGCGGCGGGGGCGGTGCGCGATCGTCGGAACAGCCCAGGCGGCGGCAGCCCCGCCCCTCGCGCCCCCGCCGAGCGCGCCGCGCGCGCTTGCGCACAAGAGGCCGTTCCCGGTCTCATCCGCCGCCATTCCAGCCTAGACCCCGGAGGCTGGAGCAGGTTCTGAGAGTGTAGTTGTGTGAAAACATAGGTAGAGTTCTAGGGGAGAGAAGGACTGCTCGGTCCTATAGTATGACATTTTACCAACGTCTTTTTTGAGTTTGCTAAATATGTTCCGTTTAATCTCTGTGTATTAAGGACTATTAGCCCTGTTTTTACAGAGGAAAATGAGTCCCCAGAGAGGTTAAGTGACTTGCACAAGGTCGTGCAGCTGGTAATTGGCAGTGCTCAGCTTCTCTGCAGCTTAAACATGGTTCAAGGTCTTGAGAGTTCCTTTTTGAAAGTCTGCATTTTAAGTACATCCAAACAACAACAACAACGCTTCCCTCCAGCTATCTCCTTGTCAGTCAAATTCTTCCCTGAGCCAGCTCTACGCATCTAGTTACTCCTCAGCCCTCTCTAAATTGGAACCCCCCCCCCCCGCCCCCGCCGCCGTGCTAGGCCTAGCAAGGTCAATGGTGACTGCCATGTTGCAAAATCCAATGGATAAAATACAGTTGGGGCTTAGGGTGTGCAATGTTACACTAAGAGAAATGTATATAAAAATTATTAAAATAGTGATAATCTATCAGTACATCATCTTACACATCTGAGAAAGAAACCTGGTAACAGTGGCTGCCTCCGGAGGAAAAGGAGCCTCTTCAGTTGATAGCCCTTTGTATCTTGAATTTTGAAATATCTGATTGTATACATATTTTGAAACACACAAACCACAGAAATATTTCTTAGATACCTTCCAGTTGTGGCCTTATCAAAGGAAGCAGTGCACAGGAGGGGTTAAGAACTTGGGTTTTGGCATTCAGTTGTTTGAATTTGAATCCCATCTCTAATATTTGTTCTTCTTTGACCTTAGACTTGTAAGATGGTTTAAAATGGTATGTGTAGGGCTGTGGTACTGATTAAACAAGATACTCATGCAATGCATCTAGCACAGGGCCTCCAAAATAGTTCATTTTGTCTCCTTCACTTCACTGCAATCCACTCACTTCTCACCATCTCATCTGTCACCTCCCCTGGGTAAGGCGACCATCATTTCTGCCAATTTTAGCATCTCCAGTTTCTTCCCCCTCCCTTCTGTTTTCAGCACAGGCATCAGAGCATCTATTTAAAATGTAAAGTTAACCATATCACTACCCTACTCAAGTCCCTCCCATGATTCCCCATGCTCTTAGGAAAAAATGCAATGTCCTGGGGCCTGGGATTCAAGGCTCTGCAAGAGCTGCTCTCGGGTGGCCTCTCCTGCCTCATCCGTCATCTGTCTCCCTTCACTCTGTGCCCTACCTCTGATTTGCTAACCCCCCTGATCCTAGCCCAACCACTTCAAGCCTCTGACTCTCTGTTCCGAGTCCTAGTCTCCAATTCTGGCGTCCTCCAAATTTTAGTCCTGGCTTGACTGATACAAATGATAGAAATGAGAAAACCCTGCTTTGCCAGTGAGGAGAAGACCCTAAGTCAGGACCCGCCCCAGTGGTGGCCCCATCCTGAATCACGGTGCAGCCTCGCTTTCCTTTGAAGTGGAGCTGACTCCTAGTGTGGCTGAACATTGTCACATGGCTAAGCCCACTCAGTTCGCCCAGAGGGAGATCCAGCATGGTGGCCAGGCACACAGTACATGCGTGATAAACATTCCCTGAGTGAAGGAGACCCGAGTGGGGGGGCAAGGAGCAAAGGTGGAGCAAGAAGCAGGAAGAGGAGCAGGAGAGGGATCTGTGTGGGAGGAGACTGCATGGCTCTTAGGCGGTTTCAGGAAGATAAGGGGGAGCTCTGGATGGGTTCCCCAAGGGTGGGAGCTTTATTGTCATTGACATCTTATTCCTGGGCAGAAGGTGGGAGGAGGGAGACGGTGTGATCCTAATTTAGCTTCCCTGAAATTCCCGATGCCATCACAGGACCCTGTTGGCCTAAGACACATCCTATGTGAGGCCGCCTCCACCATCCAGGCCTCTTCACTGCCAGGACTGTCCGATGGGGTTCCTTACCCTTTCCACCCATCTGTCTGTCCTTCCTCAGCCCGACCTGACTGACCCCTGTGGAATCTCTGCTTCACGCGCCCATTCAAGAACCTCCGACATCCTCTCTCCATCTCTGCCCAGCGCTCTCCTCCTCCCCCACCACCTCCACTCTGTCTCCAGCTTTTTTTGGCTGCTGTCTCTTCCTCCTCCTCCTCCCTCCTTCCCTGACGCTGAATAATCAGGCCTAGCTGTCCTGGTTTCTGGAAATACCAGTGTGTGGGCAGTGGCTCAGGGCTGGAACTGGGGATGGATGGGTGGATGGATGGCTGGGGACTGCTGTGTAGCCTCAGGCCCTCAGTGCAAAGACACCAAAATCCAGCAGTGTGTGGTCCATGCCTGTCTTCCTCTGGAAGGGGAGGGCAGGAGATTTATTGAGCAGTAGGAGGGGTGGAAATTCAGAGGGCATGGACACAGGCCATCTCATCCCCCAGATCCTCATCATCGAAGCGGGAGAGGATGGACTCCTCGTCACTATAGAGTGAGCTGGTCCCCTGTGCCAGAAGGTCACTGGCAGCACTGTCCATCTCATCCAGTGTCAGACGACATGCATCTGCAATCTCCTGCTTGGCCAGAGCCACAAAGCGAGGGTCTCGGGCAAAGAGGCCAAGGCCCTCGGAGATGAGCACCTAGGAGCACAGGTAGGATCAGCGTTGGCCAAGGACACTGTGTATACAGAGGGGTCAGTGTGGATGAATGATGCGCCCATGAGAGCATGCAGGGAAGTGCAGGGGCAGCGGGTCTGGAGATAATGCTGAGCAGAGGGATGTCTACATGTACAACACAGAGCTTGCAGACCCCTTTCCCCTCCACCCCAGCTCCCGCCTTTTCCTCTTCCCCACCAGCCTTCTTGCCCACACCCCCTCTGGACTCACAGCCTCCACCAAGCTGTCAGCACTGCCTCTCTTTCTGTAGCTGGGGTCTGAGTGGGTTCCAGGCACGTGCAGACAGGTGAAGGTGCGCAGTGCACCGCTAGATTTGCCCAGGTATCCCTCTCCTGCTGCACCCTCCTCCACCAACAGCAGTGGCGCATACAGGAGCCGACCTCTCTGAGGAGGGGTTGCCCAGGAACCCTGGACCAGAATAAATATCAGGAGGCAGAGATTGAGGGGTGGGTACGAGGGTCTAGGACTCACTCCTGTGAGTCCTGTCCCTCTCCCCCAAAACAGGACTGGAGTCCAACTGAGTGGGTGTATGTTGGACTTGCGTTTGGTTATATTTCTTTTTTTTTTTTTTTTTTTGGTTTTTCTCCGGTACCGGGAACCGAACTCACGACTTTGCACTTGCCAGGCAGGTGCTTTTGCCGCTGAGCTAAATCCCCAGCCCCTATATTTCTTTATTTATAATCCTGAGAATGGAATTGAGGCCTTTGTACATGCTAGACAAATGCTGCACCATTGAGCTGCATCCCTAGCCCCAGACTTGAGTTTATGCTAGCGCAAAGAAGAGCTTAAGTGTCAGCTCTCCTGCTTACTGGCCATGTGATCTTAGGTGAATAAAGTTCTCTGGGCCTAGGTTTCCTCATCTGTAAACTGGGAGTAGTAGTGCCTGTCTCATAAGTAGGGGAAGATGATGTGCATTCCTGCATGTGTGTCTCATTCTTCAGAAGGGCCTGACATACAGTGTGTTTATGAAGTTCAGCTTGGGCTTCCCACACCCTTGCAGGTCCCGACAGCCCTCCCCTGGCTCACCTGAGCTCTTTTGGGCCCCGAGTTTTGTCCACGATGATAGGTGCCTGGGATGGGTAAATCTTCACAACTGCCCTGGCGCTGCAGACACTGGATAGTGAAGGAGGGCTTCTGACCTGGGAGAAAAGAACACTGGCAGTGCCTCCCTGGCTTTCTGTCCAGCTGGCCCTTGGCAGAGGCAGGGGCCACCCATACTCTCACCTGTAGGTGTGGGAGGCAGCAGACGCCGCCGTGGTGCGTGGTGCCCGTTGACGTATCTCTGGGGTCGGTGGGGTGGCAAAAGGACTGAGCGTGGGGGAGTTTCTGCCTGCTCATCCAGGTAGTAGAGCCTGTGGAGGAGGGCTGGGGGTGAACCCAGGTCTGGACTCCAAGGTGGGGTAATCACAGTCCTGCCCTCTGCCCCATAGCTTATGGGCTTATCCCATGTGGCATGGACAGTGTACCGGTCAGGGCTTTCCTCTTCCTCATCTTGTCTGTCATGACCTTTAGTTCCCTTGGGCTGGGGACTTCCTTCTTCTGGGATGGTGAACATGAAAACTCCTGAGCTTCTCCTGGGGAAGGTGAGGCATTTTAGGCAGACTTCTTCCAATATGAGGTGCTGGACTCCTGTTCCTGTCATCTCAAGCCCCATCTCCTATATAGACACTGAGCTTTATGATTTTTTTTTCTGGTATTGGGTGTTGAACCCAGGGCCTTTGCATTGAGCTACATCCTCAGCCCTTGTTATTTTTTTATTTTGAGACAGAGTCTTGCTAAGGTGTTAAAATGCCCAGGCTGGGCTTGAACTTGCCACCCTCCTGCCTTCGCCTCCTAGAGTTCTAGGATTACAGGTGTGAATCACCACAATCAGCATGTTTTTTTTTTTTTTTTTTTTTGGTCTTTTTGAGACAAAGTCTCACTATGCAGTTCATGCTGGCCTTGAGCTCAGTTATGTAGCCCAGGCTGGCCTTGAACTCTCAACGATCCTCCTGCCTTAGCCTCCCAAGTGCTGGGATTACAGGTGTGTGCCACCATGCCCGGCTCCAGCATGTGGTTTTGTGTCAAACCTTTGCACTGCCTTTCTCATAAGCCTCTGTAGTTACCTTCTGTTCCCACCTGAACCCTTGAAACACTGCCAGCCTTCCCAGCTTTCCACTTGAAGGCCTCTAGGTGCTCCTTCTGTGCACCCTGATACAGTGTCTCAT